TTAAACCTGTGCTGTTTCCCTTGGAAGTCTGCCTTGTCCCCCAGCTATCATGGCTGAGAGCTGAAATAAACCCACTAGAAGGAATTACATCTGCAGCTGGTGATAAGACACCACTTGGAAAACTGTACTTGGGAGCTACAATTGTTCAAAGTTCATATTTACATAGAGGTTTTATGGGTAATCTTGAAATATTAGAGCAAAAGAAAGTGCCCAGAAACATAGCATTCAGGTTACAGCTAAGAAAACTCTCCTCTCCCAAAGCTGGGCCAGGTCTCTGTTCTCCAGCAGAAGTGGAGACCATGCAGCAAGCATGTGTTTGTTTATCCTGAGGCTTAGTTCTCTCTCTGTGTGTCGCTTCCAAACTCAAGACATTAGCTTCCAAAGCACATGAACGCTCCGCTTCAGGAGCCACGTAGGAAGTGCAGGTTACATGCAGGAAACTAAGATTTTAGATGTGTAATGCGGCCAAGGCCTGCCAGTCACTGAATTCAGCAGCTTGGCTGAGTGGCGACTGCAGGATCAGGCGAAGATTTCAGAACTTCACACTAATGTGGAGACGATGATACGAGCAGGGTTTGTCCCAAGGGCTCATTTCTGGTCCTGCTGGTAGTTAACAGGGAAGCCAGACATAGGCTAAGCAAAGGGCTGCCAGTGGTGGAAACCCTTGGGGATAAAACAAATGGCCAAAGCTGCAATTCACACCTTGCAAAGTCGACTGGCGTGGAATGGGATGACATTTCTTCATTGCAGTTGGAATGCAAATTTCTAGGGAAGTCAATTTATTAACCCATTAAAGGCCCAAACCTGCTCCCACTGAAGTCAGCGGGAATGCTGCCAATCCTGCCAGTGATGTCAATGGGTATGTGAAGCGCTGTACAGAAAACGAGGACCCCGAGCACAAGTGCTGAATGGAGTGTAGAAAAAGAACAGGCTCCACACAAACGTGCCTGGCTTCGATGGAAGCTGGGGGTGCTCAGCACGTCTCAGGATCTGGCCGAGGTCTGCTGAAGTAAGGACTATGGACGGCAGGGTTTGCCTGTTGGCAAACAGCAGTGAAGGCGCAATGAACGCTTCTGGGTGTCCCCAGCTTCTACCAGCCCAGGAAGCTCCAAAGCCAAACCTGAACCTTGCTAGACCCAGGGGAGTAAACTGTGAACTTGTGCAAGCAGCCCTCTGAGTCAGTGCAGACCCTGAGAACTGTCTTGCTTTTTTCCATGCATGCCCACTGCTCTCCTCCCACACACCTAATAAAAGGAACATCAGGCAGGGTACAAATCCTAGCCCTGGTTTAATATTTAAAGTGCTCCTGCAAGAACAAGCCTCTGAGAAGGTTTCTGCATTATAGATGTCAGTGGGGAGCCATTTTAGAGTCTTTGTTCTATAAGTAACATTGGTAGAAACATTACTGATACCTGATGGATCCCAGGACCAGGACTGGCTCTAGCGTTTTTGCTGCCCCAAGCAGCAAAAAAAAAAAAAAAAACCGCGATCGCAATTGTGATCGGTGGCAGTCCGGCGGCAGCTCTACCGCCGCATCTTCTACGGCGGCAATTCGGCAGCAGGTCCTTCTCGCCAAGAGGGAGTGACGGCCCCGCCGCCGAATTGCCGCTGAATGGTCGGACGTGCCGCCCCCCTCTTCATTGGCCGCCCCAGGCACCTGTTTGCTACGCTGGTTCCTGGAGCCGGCCCTGCCCAGGACAGTCTGTTAACTGTTACTTACCCAGGTATAATGTATGGTGAGTTATAGATTCCAGATTCAAGATCATGAGTCAGGACAAAATGCTTCACCCAAGGGGCCAGGACCTAAGAGATGAAGAAAACAGAGCAATATAAATCCACAGATATCAGAATTGAACATCTAGGGATTTCTTTGCCCAAGTGGAAAATTGAACTGGCCAAAGAAAGTCAAGCCCTGGCCCAGACACACAAAGGAAGAAATGTCCACTCATCAGTAAACACCAGGAGCAGGGGGTCCTGCCAGGCAATTTCTTTTGTTACATTTATATTATGTTTACACCGCATCATCAGCATTTCTTATAATGCAGCGTCAAGACAGGGGCGGATGGATGGTAGGTGGGTGGGAAGAGGAGTACAAGGGCTTCTCACCTCATATTACTGGGTTTTTTTCAGAATAATAATAATAGCCCTTCAATACTTTGGCCAAGGATTTCACAGCATGTTACATATATGAACAACTGAGCCTCAAACCCACCACCCACATGTTACAGTTGGGGAAAGAGAGGTTTAGGGACCAGCCCACGGTGGCATCGTGAGTCCACAGCAGAACCAGGTCTCTTAATCCTGTGCTTCGGCCACCACACCACACACTTTCATACATCCCATGAGCTGGGCCTAGTGAGTCCAATCATCCAGCAAAAGAAACAAAATCTGGCACCTGCCCCTCTTCCGCCCCCCAGTGCCATCCTCACCTTTATGATTTGTCCTCGGCCTGGCATTAACCCTGGGTCTGGTTGCAGTTCCCCTGCACGGACCCCGGTACAGTTTATTATAACATCCACGCCCTTGGCAACCATCTAACAAGGGAGAGATGCACAGCCATGAGCAGGACATGCAATCTGGGGAGGCAGAAGAACTGTGGTAGACCCACTTGGGGAGCACCCACCACCGGTTCTGCAGTTCTCTTCCAGGTGTCAAAGCCAAGCTGAGCACCTAAACTGCCACCCTCAGTCAGTAATTAATGTGCTAGTCCATAAAGCAGAGAGGGACAAATGCGGCACTCCGATCCTCGGGCACAGCTCCCACTGAAATCCCACCTGTGCACCTGAGGTCGGGATCTGCCACCGCCTCCTCTGAAGGGGACCCCAGGATGGCTATGCTCGCTGCCTGAATTCCTGTCCGCAGGTAAAGGGATAACGAGATCCCAGCACAGCCAGAGCCCTCGGCTCATTTGATATTCTCCTGAGTACTGTGCCAGCCCCTCCTTGCAATGCACATAGCACAGTCCAATGATTGAAAGGCGTAGGGTCTGCCTGAAAGAGGCTCCTGCCCAGGGATAGTTAAGGCTGCTTCTCTGCCCTGACTGCTGCATTCTAGTGAAAGCAAGGAGTTCCCCACAGCATCTCGTTGCTATTACTAAGGCAATCATGCTGTGTGGCGTCTCCCCTGCCCTGCCCCTGCACAAGGCAAATGCTCTCCCCCTCCCGCTCCCTACACTAGGAGTCTCAGACTTGTCTTTCTAAATGTCCAGCCAGCCCTTCCCCGGCAGATTTTCTCCAATTAAATTCCCCGCCAACCTCATGGAAGGATTCAACCTTCTTATGAAAAAACTTGACTCCTCTCTGCTTTAACCTGTAAGAACAAAGTTCATTTGTTAATGACAACTAACAGCAACTGACCAATTCAAACCAGCCACCAGGGAAGGGTTATTACTCTTCATGGACTACCATATACCCAAGTCTTTCTCAATGGCTCTTAAATGGTCTCCAGTCATTACCTCATTTCTTTAATGCACTGGGGACACCACTAATTGACAATCATACTGATCATGCTAAACCATACAGCATATTCCAGACTTTCACATATATTGTAAATGGCTCATCAATTACACATTTTAAAACAAACAAAATCCTTTTCTGTAGCGGAAAGCCAGAGGGGCTGCAATGACGCCCCATTTTCATCTTGCCTTGCTAACTTACTCCATGTTATTTCTTTTCATATACAAAATACGAAGTTAAATCCTAGTGAGGAAAATAGAAAGGAGAATAAACTCTGGCAAATGAAGTGTAAAAATATAATTAGGAAGGCCAAAAAAGAATTTGAAGACCAGCTAGCCAAAGACTCAAAAAGTAATAGCAAAAATTTTTTTTAAGTACATCAGAAGCAGGAAGCCTGCTAACTAACCACTCAATGTGCAGCAGCAGTCAAAAAGGCGAACAGAATGTTGAGAATCATTAAGAAAGGGATAGATAGATAATAAGACAGAAAATATCAGATTGCCTCTATATAAATCCATGGTACGCCCACATCTCGAATACTGTATGCAGATGTGGTCGTCCCATCTCAAAAAAGATATATTGGAATTGGAAAAGGTTCCAAAAAGGGGAACAAAAATGATTAGAGGTATGGAACAACTGCCATATGAGGAGAGATTAATAAGACTGGAACTTTTCAGCTTGGAAAAGAGACGACTAAGTGGGGATATGATAGAGGTCTATAAAATCATGACTGGTGTGGAGAAAGTAAATAAGGAAGTGTTATTTACTCCTTTTCATAACACAAGAACTAGGGGCCACCGAATGAAATTAATAGGCAGCAGGTTTAAAACAAACAAAAGGAAGTATTTTTTCACACAATGCACCGTCAACCTGTAGAACTCCTTGCCAGACAATGCTGTGAAGACCAAGACTTTAACAGGGTTCAAAAAAGAACTAGATAAATTCATGGAGGATAGGTCCATCAATGGCTATTAGCCAGGATGGGCAGGGATGGTGTCCCTAGCCTCTGTTTGCCAGAAGCTGGGAATGGGCGACAGGGGATGGATCACTTGATGGTTATGTGTTCTGTTCATTCCCTCTGGGGCACCTGGCATTGGCCACTTTCGGAAGACAGAATACTGGGCTAGATGGACCTTTGGTCTCACCCTGTATGGCTGCTCTTATGTTCTTATGACCTTTAAGAAAGCTCCATTAAAAGAACATTGTGAAAGTTGCAAAGTTAAGCACTTCAAAGTTAGGAAATGCCAGAATTAAGGTTGCCTGTGCAACCTTAATTCAGCCCCTCAGAAGCTGCATTATGATATAGTCTTTAATTACATGATCACATACTATTTTCTCATGTTTTTTTAAGGAACAAACTGGAAAAAAAGAAAAGAAAAAGAAATTGATCATTTAGACCCCATGGATCCCTAATACATATGGATTTTTTAAACATAGGCAAAGCAACATGTTTTTCCCGAATTTCATCCTTGGAAATGGCTGAACTGTTTTTGCTAAAACTTTCCCAAAATATTCAGCCTGAGGCAGACAGCCATCATGGAAAATATCAGCCCAAACAGCTAAAGTCTGGCAAAGTTATGAGTAACTGAAAACAAGGTCTTATAATGAAAATTGTCAGTCAACATTAACCATAGGCAGTACTACCATCTAAAATACATCAAGCAACTTTGTGTTAAAGAAGAATCTTGAATAATATTTGATGTTTTCCCCCTTTTGTCTGAATGAAAATGGAATTTTCAAAATTATTTATAAGTAGGCTGATGGGTGAACTGAGTAAAAAAAGCTGCTTTTTATTCACCCTTAAATCTACAGATTACTGCACAAGTCTAAAAATGGGGGCACAACCCAACTGTAGCAGAACAGAAGAAAGAGAATAGGCTGGCACTCACCTCTTGGTAAGCCAAGGCAAATAGCTCTTGCCCTCTAAGATTAGTGCTGTGTTAAACCAACCATAGCTGAAACAGAGGAAGAGAAAAATGGACGTGCAGTATCATCTGATCTAGTTTTACTGGGACAGAATTGCTTTCACGTCTACTCTTTTTAGGGCATCTGCTGAAATATTTTTAGCAGAGGAAGGAGCTGAAAAACTCCATGTGTCCCTCTCTTCTGTCTTATCTGAACTGATTCCAACTTCTTATTTATGGAAAAGAGCTATGTCCAGTGACAGCTCTATAATAAGGCAATAATGCTTAGCACTTACCTAGCAACATCCACTGAACCTGTTCATAGAATCACAGAAGATTAGGGCTGGAAGAGACCTCAGGAGGTCATCTAGTGCAACCCCCTGCTCAAAGCAGGACCAGCCCCAACTAAATCATCCCAGCCAGGGCTTTGTCACATTAATCCGCATGACATCCCTGGGAGACAGGTAGTATGACTGTCCTCAGGGTGGGAAGTGATGCATGGAAAAATTAAGTCACATAGTAGGACAGTAGTAAAGACAGGAATGGAACCCAGGAGTCCTGAGTCTTGGTAACCTGCTTTTTGCTCTAGATCATGCTGCTTCTCACTGTCTTTATGTCTCGTATACTATACCTATTGTATGGTGCAGTGCATGGGACTCCTGGAGGTGTACGTATATTTATCCATGAATAATGCTATGCATGTCACTAGTTCCTCTAAGGTAATATGCATTGTATAATACCTGTAACCAGGGAAGAGTTCAAGCTCTTTTGCTGTCAGATTCCTAAATCCCAGGACAATGTCCTTCCAAGGTGGGTCCTGCAGAGGGGAAAATGTTCCAGGCTCGTTAACGTTATTTAATCACTATAACACATTCCCAGAGTCCGTGTAGCTGAACACGGGAAGGATGAAATGGGACACCAGCGCATGGGTCTCTTTGCTACACTGGCTCAGTCCAGAGGAATGGAGGGCCAGACCCTCTGCTGGTGGAAATTGTCATTGCTCCACTGAAGTCAACAGAGCTACTTCGGTTTACACCAGATGATGGCTAGCCCAGCATTTATGTTTACATATCACTGGAGAACCAGCCAGTGCACAGTGCAGACAAACTGGTGACAAAATGAACTGTCAGCTGATCTGGAAAAGCTTTATACATCGGTAAATAAAAAACACAAGTTTGCCCAGCAAGACTTGAGCCATTGACCCTTTGTCCCTTTCATCCGTATCTGCTTACCGGAACTGGCTGTGTAAAGAGATTGTAGCCAGAAATTGGGAAGAGTCCCATTTCCTCTACTTCCGGTGAGTTCAGGTGTCCACACAGGTAATCAAATGTCTCTTTGTTCCAGAGCCTAAAATATAATATCACACGGATTTATCTTTCAGAAAGCATCCTAATAACATCCCAGCTTCAGTGCTTGTACCGGCACACCCTTCCTCCCAGGTCCCTTCAACTGATGGCAGTCAACTCACCTGAGTAAGGGTTTGCAGGGCTAGACCATGCTATTTATCATCATGCCTTTAATATGGATTTACAGTTCCAGAGTCGTCATTAAATCACAGCAGAGGGAGAGAGAAATGAAGAGGCCCAGTCAGGGGGATGGGAGGGGGGAAGAGATGAACTCCTCTGGGATTGTAAAGGAGTGAGGAGGCAGGTGGTGGGAGCTGCAGAGCGGCAAGCTCTCGCCCTAAGGCTGGTGAGGTTAGGTAAAGGCAGGGAAGAGTCTGGTGCTAGCCATGCAGGGAGACAGGCAGGAGGCAGGCAAGGTCCCTGGAGGTGGGAGACGCAAGTGCACAAAAGGCTTTATTAGAACAACTGGCAACCTGCCCCCAGCTCCTGGTGGAGTTTAGGAGCAGTGAGTCAGACTGGGGGGGGAGGGGGAGAAGGAATGCCTCCCGTATATGGGGCAGCAGCATCCTGCATGGGCTGGAGTCTGGCGACCTGGGGCTAGGGGAGGCTATTGGCACTCCAGACAAAGGAAGTTCTGCTCCATCGATGCCCTGACCTCAAGTTGAGTAACTAACTGCTGTGGGATTGTCTGTCTGTCTGCACTGTGCCCCTTTCAGAGCTCATGTCTGAGCTCAGAGCACTTATATTCACGAGGCAGAACGCTGGCGGGAGGCGGGATTTCTATTTTCAGCTCCTCCAAGCTCATTTCTTGCAGGGGGCTGCCATCAGTGCAGTGGCAATGACGAGGCACATGGCCTTGTCTACACTAGGGATCTGCACTGATGCAGCTAAGCTGGGGGCTGAAACTCCAGCGCACCAAGGCCTTAGAGACTTGCCAGAGACTGGTTTCACACTTAGCTTGCCAGCCCCTCCCAATCAGTAAAGAGCTGGCAGAATGTAGAGGAGCTAGGTTTCCTTCCAACAGTTGATCAGTCTTGTAACAAGTGTGTCTCACATTGTGTGGGGGCATATCAGATTCTCAACAGCACCGTGCCAAGAGAGCGCACCTGCAGAAGGCAGAGCTGATGGTCTTGATTACACAGCAGTGGTTTCGTCAGGGCCGCTCAACAGCCATCAAGCTGAATAGCAGGGAGATGAAATGAATGACCCTCCAGGCAGACTGGACCCAACTGATTAAGAGAACTGGAAGCGACCCAGAACATATTTGCCTTTAAAAGCATTTCAGCCTGAGCAGACAGTGGTTTGCAGATGATGAGGGGAATTGATTTGGGATGTAATAATCATTTAATTGCCGTCACTGGGGCACCTGAACACTGGTCAGTATCACCCACTTCCTTGTGTGCCAGGCACTGACAGAACAACATTACAACAGCATGAGAGCCAAAGCCGCCTCTCTTACGTTTCTTGAGTATTTCTCTTATCGTCCAGGTAGGGCTGCCAGAGCCCGGCTGCTCCATCGCTGGTGGTGAGCGGCGTATACTGGTCAGCATAGACCTCAATTTCCAGGGGCTGGACGACCGAGTGATACTGATCATAGATGCACAAGGCTGTGGACAGCCCGATCACCCCTGCTCCGATCACCGCTACGCGCATGGCAGTCAGGTCCCTCCTGCGGGGGCAAGACAAATTAAACGAAACCCCCAAGACTGTGCCCAGGAAGGAAATGAAGTCAGAGTGCCAGGGGAGCTGCTTGAATGGGCCTGGTGCATCGCAGAGAAGGTTTGCACCTACAGGGATGCTGAGTGGGCCAGGCTGTCCTGAAAGTCCTCTGAAGATAATGGGACAGAGCCAGTCTGCAAGGGCAGCAGGCCCAGCAGCAAAGGGACTAAGCCACATCTCAGTGTTTATATTTAACCTCATTTCTCTAACGGTAAAAGCAGCTGCTGACTCACCTCTCCGGCCCAAGGGAGGAGGAATGCACCAGCCTTGGTAAGGGAGCGTTGTGGAGGCTTTCCCCACTATTAGCCTGCAGGTCTTGTGTAGAGTGGATCGCAACCCCAGCTATCCCCACCGGGCTGACGAGCCCTAGCACGTTATTCCCTGAGACACTGCCCGGGGTCAATACACTTTGCTTCTCTTTTAAAAGCTATTTGCGACCGCCCTGGCCATTGCAATTCTGAAGCAGAATGGGCATTTGGCGAGCTCCTTTGCATCTCAATACCCAGGATGCTCTCTCTTCCAGCTCCCATAGCACTGCTGGCTCGGACCTCTGGCAGTAGGCAAAGACTTGGGCACACAGGCATCTCTTTCCTCAGAGGGGAAGAACCGGGGGCTGGTGCTTTCTGGGCCAGTGTGTCACACTCACCACGTCCCACTTGAAGGCTTCAGCCTGCTTTACAAACCCAGCAAATCCTCCAGCCACTCAAGCTAGCATCTAACAAGAGAGCTCTCTGTGCTCCGGAATGGCTCAACCCAACTCCCCGCCCGTGCTCTCTAAACTCTGCTCCCACATGCCAGCGCTCTTGGCACCCCGACGCTGGGCTCTGAATCCTTGTCCTAGCACAGCAGATTCTTTTGTAGAAAGACAACCAAAAAAACCCTGGAAACGTTCGACATTTACCCAGCAAAACCAATGCCAGAAACAACAAATGGAAGAAAGGTTTTATTGTACTGACTTTGCAAACTTCCCCACTTAGCTCTGCTAATGTACCTGCAGTCTGACCAGCATATCCCAGCCCTGGGGAAGCCCCCACAGCTACACTGATACCCTGCAGCTCAGAACTACAGCCTCAGAAAGGCAGGATCAAACCAGTCATTCCTAAAATTTGTGCCTCTTCCCCTGTATAAGCCTTAAGCCTCACCCTCCCCTTAAAATGCTGCATCGATGACAGCTCAGGGATCAAAGGGTTAAAGTGCACGTCTGTCCATTCACTATTGACTGGCACAATGTTCCTCTGCTTCTCATGGCCAACATGCAGCTGCAGCTCTTCCCACGGGCTTACCAGAGCAGCTGTTGCTGCTAAATGCATCCTGGCCAACAAACCCCTCTCCGGGGTCCTGTCTGGCCAGCTCCATTAGCAGCTGCTGCTCCCCAACCTGGTACTAGTGAGCATTCCAGCACAGGTGTGTGAGCAGGTGAGTGCTCAGGTGTGCTTGTGCGGCTCTTTGCCTGCACACACACCTGAGAGCGCCGCTTCACCCTTTTGAAGATCGGCCTCATATTTTTAAAATAAATGTTAATTTACTCTGTTACTAACCCCCGTAGCATGCATGGAGAATTAAACCCTTGCATAGAGTCCTGCTGCTTCCATTTCTGTGACTGACGATCTGATCAGATAACAGAAATTAGAGTCAGAAGGGCCTGTGTGCCCCTTCCAGGCCCGTCCCCAGCGGGAGGAGAGACTGCCCCTGATGGCTTTCTCACCAGTTCTCCAGCTGGTCAATAAACCACAGAGACAAACACATTCCCCAGACTAACCTGCAGAGTGACAGGTCCCCAAGAAGGTTCCTCGAGCTGCAGGGAGCTCCGCACAGAGCCTTCTGCACACAAGCTGTTTATCGCTAAGCGCGAAACATACAGTCTGAAGGTCATTCACCAGGGACAGAAAGAGCAGCATCAGCAACTCGCTCTTCCTAACGACTGGGCAGGAGGTCAAAGTCTCCCAGCCAAGGTGACAGTGGGCGGGGAGATGGCGTTTCACGGTCCTGGCAGACTCGCTCTGCCCAGAGAGCATGACTTGGATCTTCCCCAGCGCAGGGCAGAGCTCCACCCCCATTACTGCCAATGAGCTGCCTTGCCTGAAATTAGGGAAGGAAATGGAGTGACAGGGCCTCCCGGGACTCCTGAAAGGGTGGTCACTGCCACTGGTCACCATGGACATTTTTCGTTCCTCTGACCCCAGAGAGAGGGAGTGGGGCCTAGTGGGTAGAAGCAGAGGAATGGGAATCAGGACTCCTGCGTTCTCTTCCTGGTTCAGCTACAGGCTTCCTGCAGGACCCTGGGTGCATCATTTACCTTCCACGCCTCAGTTTCCCCTTCTGTAAATGGGAATAACTCTTCCCTGCCTCACACGGGGGCTGCGTTTACAAAGCATTCTGGGATCCCAGCTGGAAGGTGCTGCAGGGAATGCCCTGTACCAGCATCCCAAGCGTTAGTAGCTGAAGAAGCTCTCACACCGCTGGGGTCTTTGTGCCTGGCTGTTCCCTGGCAATAGGCTGGGAGCCCTGCAGATGGTTTACTGTATCTCCATCCCTCCTATTTGTAGCTGTGCCTGGAGCTGGAGTAACTCTCCCATGCAACAGTGCAGGTGCTGCTGGGAGGGCTGGGAAGCAGCCAGGATCAGGCGCTGAGGGAGGAGAGCAGAATGAGGTGACTTCTTTACCGCAGGGAAGCTGCTGGGAGTATTTACTTAGCCATGGACCTCCACTGTGTGGACAGACCCCCTCCCCCTAACACATCAGCTTCCCATGAAAGAGCCAGGACCTCTCAGCTTCTAGGGCAGTGGTTCTCAACCTCTTTACCATTGTGGGCTGCATATATGTGGCTCTCTATGTGTTATGTGGGCCGCATCCACGCTGTATGGCCCTGATGATGTCACATGGGCCGCAGCTGTGTACTGATTTGGCTGCAAGCAGCCCGCGGCCTGAGAACCACTATTCTAGAGTTTGTGCAGCCTGGAAAGCTACACACATCTGCATATTCAAATCCATCCTGTTTAACCTCTTGACACCTACATACATACAGTAAAATCTGCCCTAAGTAACCACACAAAGCAACTGCCTAGTAAGAGTGAGTCCTTATCGAACAGTCAAAGAAAATTGTCCTGGAAATTTTGGGGAGATTTCCAAGTGGCTTCTAACAACAGGAAGTTGCCTGTAGGAAAGGGATCAGTCCTTCGGGCTGGTGACACATATTTATGGCATTTGTATATTTCTGTGGGTTTATCCTATCCAAAAGGTCATCTGAACAGCCACCAGTAGTAATGTGAGCTGGAGTGGCATGTTCCCTCCAAACATGGGCAAACAGCAGAATCATATTGTGTTTACAAATGAATCCCTTGTGTAGCCGGTTTCTAGCAGTCTTGGGGTGAACTCTGGATTACAGCAGACGGGACAGTCTTACCTTAGAGTGGCTGTACTGCTGTCCAGGGTTCCCAGTTTACATGTAATACTTTAAAGAAGGGAGGTTCTGTTGCAATGAGGCTCATTCCCCAGTGTAATGATACCCCAAAAGGGCCTCCACGTCTCCTTCTAGAACCCGGTGAGAAAGGGTCACCAGCTCGCCAAGCAGATTTGAAAAGGTGCAGAAAAGTGCCTCTTTGACTTCTAGAGCGTGTTTCATCTAAGGATCTCCGCGCTTTAAAAATGTCAGTTAATTAGCTAACCCTTGTGAGATAGGTTAGCATTAGCACCCCCATTTTATAAATGGGGAAACCCCGAGGCACAGAGATTTGCACCTGAGGTCAGACAGTGAGTCAGTGGCAGATTGGGAATAGACCCCAGGAGCTCTGACTCCCGGCCCACTGCTCTACGTGACAGACACACTCTTTCTCAATCCTCCTCTAGCTGGAGAAACCCATAATTTCATCCTCTGCCTCAAAGACAGGTTTCTTTGAGATTGTGTCTCTATGTAGATACCCATAATGTTGAAGAATGAGGGCAGCATTGGAAGCATACAGTGCATGGGCAGGATTGTTACAGACACAATTTTTGGTGAGTATTCCATGAGTCAGTAGCTTTTTAAAAATAAGTACAGAGGAAACAGAAATGTGGACTGTTCTCCTAAGTACTGAAACTTTACATACGTATATGGACTTCTGGGCCCAGGATTTCACTCTGAGCAGGTGGATGAATTTTTTTTTTCTCAACACAAGGGGCTGATCATTTATTTATTGGTTAATGTATGAAGGAGCCATCTTGCAAAAGTATCTGGGATGCTGTACACAAACTAAAATGAAACCAAGATGGGTTTGGGACCCGGAGGAATCCACCTCCCAACAATGTGAACAGAGGAAAGGATCCAAGGAAGGACAGAGGTGATTAAAAGAAAAGGTGCAAGGGGGTCAGAGGCAGCTGGCAGGAACAGAAAGGCCTTGCACTTGGCGAGGAAGGAGGCATGCAGCCATGTGTATATGCTCAGTTAGAGGGAATGGCAGAGAGAGAGTCAAACCTCCAAGCTTCTATGTCTTGATCCCCCTGCAGCCATTGATGCTGTTGACGATCAGGTGCTGTTGCTCCTCATGGGCCCTGGCGCAGTACTGATGGGGCCAGTCGTGATGGACAAATGTCCACCAAGAGCCTCCATGTGGAGTGACACGGGGTCCCTGCTGTCTGCCCTTCTCTCCAGCATCCATATGAGACAGCTAGTGGGTACTCCAAGATCAAGAGCATGCTGACAACACAGCTCTATGCACCTCCTCTGTGCCATCACCCAGGAGCACCAGTTGGTGTATGGATGGATGACAAACATTTGGTACAGGTTTGATCCAGGTAAGACAGAACTGATGATGGAAAGAGGGAAACACTGGGAGGAACTGAGGACACTCTCCAGCCCACAGTCATCCAGGGAGGGCAGAGCCTTGAGGCCATGCTTAGGGTCCTCACTGCTCCTGGACGCACAGCCTGCACCAGTGGTGAGGGGTGTTTTCCACCAGCTGCAGCTGGCCCAAAGGCAGGGAAGCACTAGCTGCTGCCTTTGCTCATTGCCCAGCCCTTGGATACCACAGGGACAGGGATCTTAGATATGACATCAGACAGACTGATCGGGGCCCTGCACCAAGAAGGCCTGATTCGTATGAACCCTTAAGCTTCAGATGCCTTGGAGAGATATAGGGGGAGAGGCAGTTGCTCAAGGGCCTAAATTATTAAGGGCTTTCTATACAATCAGTAAAGCCTATTATACTAATTACCCTATTACTTGTCTGCCTCTTGCTTTTGGCACTGCTGACCCCTCACACTTTCTCCTGTCTGGGAATTACACTTTTCCCTTGCATGGTGCCATGCCTTTGATGCTGTCAAAATGCTTTACAGACATGATCTAACTCAAACAGCAGCAGCAACCTTTGGGGGGGGGGGTCAGAATTATTACCCCCATTTCACAGTTGGGGAGGTGGAGGCTCAGGGAGATGGAATGATCTGCCCCAGGTCACACGGTGAGTCAACAGCAGAGCTGGGAAGAGAGACACCCTCTCCAAACTGCTAGACTGCACCGTCCTCTTGCCAGGTTGAGTCTTCAGCCAGGAAAGACTGCACTGTGTAAAAGAAACCAGCATATGACAGTACTTGGCTAATGGCAGCTCCTGCTGCTGCCACTTCTGCTCTGAGCACATGGGAAGCTTCTTCTTGACCCGATTATGCAGCTGTTTAAATATTTTGTGCAGCATTTTTGTAGCAATTCTCTGTTGGATCAGTTCCCTCTGACCGCCCACCTAGCGCTCCAGAGGCAGCTGTGACTCAGGTCTCATTAGGGAAAGGCTAATAGTGACGCATGTGACAGGGAATAATTTTCATGCCTGTCTAACATGGTCAGATGCTCTAAAATACCTTTTGTACACTCAGTAGGTATAGATTGCAGGGTGTACAATTTGTACACTGAGTCCATCTCCTACAGGGCAGGGCAGTTCAGGCTCTGCCTGTTTCATATTTAAAAGCATCTGTGATTATTACTACAGATCTGCATAACTATGACTATTCACAGCAAACTGGTTATTCGTTGACTTTAGAGCCTCCTTCTGTTGACAAATTAGCTGTAGGCAGACTGATCGCTTACGAATTCATCCATTAATAATATAAATACTAACAAAAAATAAAAACACCTAGCTCTTGTACAGTGCTTTTCATCCATAGCTCTCAAAGCGCTCTACAAAGGAGGTCTGTATCATTATCCCCATTTTACAGATAGGGAAACTGAGGCACAAAGCATGGACGTGACTTTACCCAAGGTCACTCAGCTCAGCAGAGACAGAGTTGGGAACTAAACGCAGGTCTCCTAAGTCCCAGACCAGCGCTTTATCCATTAGGACACACTACTTCCCCATTAGTCAACACTGTTCAGTGAGTGGTTGATGTGGACGTACTTCAGTTTATGGGCTCCATTTGCCAGGAGTGTTATAATTCACTATCCGTGCTATATGTCTGGTCGCCTGAATCACATGGTATGGTTTGTGCTCCATTACTGGATGACTCCATAAAATGTTTCAAGATGGCGGTCAGGTGTTTTCGCAAAGGCACATTCCCACGAGCATCTGTGACGCTTTCTCAGTTCACAAACAAATTGCTCATGCAGATATTCACAGGAAGTGAGTAAAAGGAGCTGTGAATACTGTCCAGATATATTCACAGGGCTTACTTGAATGAACGCTTGTGGGTGCTTTGGCACAGTATTTACCCAGCTCTAGCTAGGACCAGGAAGGTTTTCTTCCTGAAAAGGGCCCTCATTTGGAATTAGTGGCTCAAATTCAATCCTGGTTTAACAAAATCCCCTAAATCATAGGGAGTTGCATCTGGTCCTGTGTCTATGGGCTCAATCCTGCAGTTCTTACTCAGGCCAAGCTCCTACTGAGGTCAGTGTGTATTGCCTGAATAAGTCCCACGTGTAGACCTCAAGTTGTGCCACTCCATGTTTGCCCCATCCTTTCCTGACAAA